AAAATATCTTATCTTTTATTTTAAAAATTACATTATAATTTAAAAAATAATCCCATTTCAAAATAACTTGTTTACATTTTAAAAATAATTATTTCACGTCATACCAATTTTTTTTTAAATATACTTTTTGTTACACTTGAAAATCGCTATGGAAACTATCAATTAGAAACCAACATCCCTCTTTTTGAATCGAGAAAAAATATTTCACATAATCTATATTAATAATTCAAAACTAATATTTTTCAATGAAAAAAAATACTACACCCTTGCAATGTTGGTTTGACTGCAGCTAAATGAAGAGGTTTTGGCTTATACCTTCCAATTCCTAGAAGGTGTTAAATAGAAATTAATCAATTATATAGCCAAATTTTGTTATTGTTTTGATGTCCATTTATATAAATTGACTCTTCAAACAAACATTTTTCAAAAAGAAAAAAAAATCTTGTGTTGAATATTGACTGATTTTTGTAATGTTTCTTTCTCCAGCATGTAGGTTTACTTCATTATATATGTAAGTAAATTTTTATCAACTGTTACACTCTTTTTTTTGTCATCTGGATAAACATAGACGTTTACCCTATATATTACATTTATTTTTAAAGAAATTCGCTTTATTCAAATCTAACGATAATGTTTTAAAGAACTATAATTATAGGATTTAAATGTAAAAGAGTTTATAGTTATATGGAGTATTTTTTTTTTGTTTGCCAGAGGCGAAGTAGTATTTACATAATTTGAATTAAGATAACAAAAGTTCCTAATGTAATTGCATATGATCACCAACCGAATTAAGTATGATAACATGGTAACAAAAGATAAATTTTTTTAATTCAAATTTAAAAACTTCATATATATAAAAACAAAATTATCCTTTAATATATATCTAAATGTGAATGCATTTTAAATTAAATGAAGTTCCAACTTCTTAACCTCTTATACTAGATGTGGATGCCCATACAACGCACGGGTCCGGAGTTTTGCAAGATAAAACATTATTTTATACCATTTACCAATAAGGAACCAGATGAAGATTAGAATATATCAAAATTGAATTTTCCACCATCTTATCCACAATTATTGCGGTATTTGTATCAAGTGAAAAAACCGCTCAAAAAACTTACCTACCTCGCAAGCCATTAACAATTAGGAAGACAAATATAATCTGCTTTTTGTCGAATCCATCCATTATAAGGATGCAAATCTATAGCAATGTGTGTAGTTGATAAAATGCTTTGCTCCACAAAGCAGCAAAATCACCGTAAGTTATGGTTCAATGGTTCAACCGCGGTTACGTCCGATGAATAAGCAAAACAGAAAGTGCAATACTATTTGTCAAATTGTACAAAAAGCAAACTCTTAATAGATTAAACAAGTGTCATAAGTACCTAAATGTAAATACTTAGAAGCCCATATCACATCGGTCCCAAAAACATTTAATACATTAGAAACAATGTCTAAGGAAATCATTGCATACTTCTAATGAAATCTTCCCAAAGAAAGGTAAAAGAAGACTATATAGCACTTCGCAGTAGTAATTTGGAGCAATAATTCCTTGTGTCCTCAGAACAATTGTGGAAAGTTGCTATTTGACAGTTTTCGGTTTTGACATGAGAGGTTTCTCGTCAATATGCAGTAACTCGAGCTTCAATATTTCCAGCAAATGCAGCTAGCATTCGGGTAGACCTCATACAATAACTGAACATCTAATGAGCATGAAGTTAGACATAGTACACTGTGTCAATGCTCTTACCCTAAAAAACTATGGAAACACAGTTCTAATCTTGGAAAATAAGAAAAAGATTATGGCTCACTTAAATGTCTTCTGTACATGAACTATACTCATGTATATAAACAACTCGAATATCACCTAATTCCAGTAATACAAACCAAAATGTGTTATACATATACTCATGCTAATTATTTCTAGACAAAATTGTTACTAAAGCTAAATAAACCTTCGTAGTTGAATAGTTGATTCCAATTCATCTTACTCCATCTCAGACATCTTAGACATCTTCAACTTGAGATCACAAGTTATTTGCTATTGAAAATCCTTTAGGAGACACATAGACAACCATCAATCCAACCATGAGCATGAGCTTACCAGCCTGAAAAGCAAAACAAAAAATGAGGGTGCAACCTGCAACATCAACTGGTGGAGTAGGGGATTAGTTAGTTGGATCTTTGTACAACATATATAACAATGACAATAAAAAATCTCGTCACAAGAATATTAGATAACTCAAAATGTAGATGCTACTTAATGCCTTTCCAATATGGAAAATACTTTCTAATAATCACGTTCGATTTAAAGAAAGTAATAAATGCTAATACCTACTTCTACCATGCAAGTGCAAGTGCTGGCAGGTGTTCATGTACCAAAGCAACAATCTAAAGTAGCATTATACCTCAGCTGAAGAACAATATCCGAGATCAAACATACATCGATAATGCTTGATAGGCTAATGTTAATTGTATTTTGCGTTCAGGAAGTAAGGATGAACTGCAAAAGTATAAAAAATGTGAAGTATGAGCAGCCTATGATTTATATACTCACAAATACATTACAATATCATCCGAGATTAAACACATATATTTTGCAACACAACTCGATTTTCACAAGAGTACTAAAAAAGCTTTGAGTTTGCATGCCTTCGAGAAGCTTATGAGAATCCCAGTATATGAAATCTTCTTGTTTAGTTGTTTCAATGACATAGGGCATGAGGGATCATGCAGCAAGCGTTTTCTTTAAGGATGTATATGAATTTTATAGGTAGTTTTGTCTAAGAACTGGCTGCATAAGTAAATACAACACCAACATAGCCAGATCAAATTAGTAATTCAAAATAAAAAGTGGTTAAGATTTGTCAGAACAACAAACCCAAATAGAGCGATGAAGCAGTTCAGAGAGATAAGAGTGAGACAACCAGTGAGAAAGAAACTGAGAAAGATGATACCTGAAATTACACTACGGGAGATTTCACACGCAAAGAAAGGGATTGGCGTCTACAGGTTGTACAAAGGGCTTTTCAAATCAGGCTTTTCCCCTGCTAAATATGGTGGTACAGTTTAAATGTTAGAGAAGGATGGAGCAAGACTTTGGAACTGAACTAAAAGAACCTTAGTGCAGATGAATACATCAACTACAGCACCAAGTTGGCAAGTTCTACATCAATACTTTGATATCTCTTGTGAACAACCTCTGCCAAAGAAACCATCCTATTCTAATCTCTCTCTTCCTCTACCCATTTTTTGTAAATAGTCGATAGCCACTAAAATTAACCGGTAGCCCGTTAGAAGCGGTGGGCGTCGATTAGACCGATGACATCCAATTCCCCACGGCAGCGAAAGGCCAAGGTTGCATAAGATTACGATTTCTTGATTTTATTCCATGATATGACTTCTATCATAATTATTTTAAAAACTCTCTACTAAAATTTAAAAATATCTTATCTTTTATTTTAAAAATTACATTATAATTTAAAAAATAATCCCATTTCAAAATAACTTGTTTACATTTTAAAAATAATTATTTCACGTCATACCAATTTTTTTTAAATATACTTTTTGTTACACTTGAAAATCGCTATGGAAACTATCAATTAGAAACCAACATCCCTCTTTTTGAATCGAGAAAAAATATTTCACATAATCTATATTAATAATTCAAAACTAATATTTTTCAATGAAAAAAAATACTACACCCTTGCAATGTTGGTTTGACTGCAGCTAAATGAAGAGGTTTTGGCTTATACCTTCCAATTCCTAGAAGGTGTTAAATAGAAATTAATCAATTATATAGCCAAAGTTTTGTTATTTGTTTGATGTCCATTTATATAAATTGACTCTTCAAACAAACATTTTTCAAAAAGAAAAAAAAATCTTGTGTTGAATATTGACTGATTTTTGTAATGTTTCTTTCTCCAGCATGTAGGTTTACTTCATTATATATGTAAGTAAATTTTTATCAACTGTTACACTTTTTTTTTTGTCATCTGGATAAACATAGACGTTTACCCTATATATTACATTTATTTTTAAAGAAATTCGCTTTATTCAAATCTAACGATAATGTTTTAAAGAACTATAATTATAGGATTTAAATGTAAAAGAGTTTATAGTTATATGGAGTATTTTTTTTTTGTTTGCCAGAGGCGAAGTAGTATTTACATAATTTGAATTAAGATAACAAAAGTTCCTAATGTAATTGCATATGATCACCAACCGAATTAAGTATGATAACATGGTAACAAAAGATAAATTTTTTTAATTCAAATTTAAAAACTTCATATATATAAAAACAAAATTATCCTTTAATATATATCTAAATGTGAATGCATTTTAAATTAAAATGAAGTTCCAACTTCTTAACCTCTTATACTAGATGTGGATGCCCATACAACGCACGGGTCCGGAGTTTTGCAAGATAAAACATTATTTTATACCATTTACCAATAAGGAACCAGATGAAGATTAGAATATATCAAAATTGAATTTTCCACCATCTTATCCACAATTATTGCGGTATTTGTATCAAGTGAAAAAACCGCTCAAAAAACTTACCTACCTCGCAAGCCATTAACAATTAGGAAGACAAATATAATCTGCTTTTGTCGAATCCATCCATTATAAGGATGCAAATCTATAGCAATGTGTGTAGTTGATAAAATGCTTTGCTCCACAAAGCAGCAAAATCACCGTAAGTTATGGTTCAATGGTTCAACCGCGGTTACGTCCGATGAATAAGCAAAACAGAAAGTGCAATACTATTTGTCAAATTGTACAAAAAGCAAACTCTTAATAGATTAAACAAGTGTCATAAGTACCTAAATGTAAATACTTAGAAGCCCATATCACATCGGTCCCAAAAACATTTAATACATTAGAAACAATGTCTAAGGAAATCATTGCATACTTCTAATGAAATCTTCCCAAAGAAAGGTAAAAGAAGACTATATAGCACTTCGCAGTAGTAATTTGGAGCAATAATTCCTTGTGTCCTCAGAACAATTGTGGAAAGTTGCTATTTGACAGTTTTCGGTTTTGACATGAGAGGTTTCTCGTCAATATGCAGTAACTCGAGCTTCAATATTTCCAGCAAATGCAGCTAGCATTCGGGTAGACCTCATACAATAACTGAACATCTAATGAGCATGAAGTTAGACATAGTACACTGTGTCAATGCTCTTACCCTAAAAAACATATGGAAACACAGTTCTAATCTTGGAAAATAAGAAAAAGATTATGGCTCACTTAAATGTCTTCTGTACATGAACTATACTCATGTATATAAACAACTCGAATATCACCTAATTCCAGTAATACAACCAAAATGTGTTATACATATACTCATGCTAATTATTTCTAGACAAAATTGTTACTAAAGCTAAATAAACCTTCGTAGTTGAATAGTTGATTCCAATTCATCTTACTCCATCTCAGACATCTTAGACATCTTCAACTTGAGATCACAAGTTATTTGCTATTGAAAATCCTTTAGGAGACACATAGACAACCATCAATCCAACCATGAGCATGAGCTTACCAGCCTGAAAAGCAAAACAAAAAATGAGGGTGCAACCTGCAACATCAACTGGTGGAGTAGGGGATTAGTTAGTTGGATCTTTGTACAACATATATAACAATGACAATAAAAAATCTCGTCACAAGAATATTAGATAACTCAAAATGTAGATGCTACTTAATGCCTTTCCAATATGGAAAATACTTTCTAATAATCACTGTTCGATTTAAAGAAAGTAATAAATGCTAATACCTACTTCTACCATGCAAGTGCAAGTGCTGGCAGGTGTTCATGTACCAAAGCAACAATCTAAAGTAGCATTATACCTCAGCTGAAGAACAATATCCGAGATCAAACATACATCGATAATGCTTGATAGGCTAATGTTAATTGTATTTTGCGTTCAGGAAGTAAGGATGAACTGCAAAAGTATAAAAAATGTGAAGTATGAGCAGCCTATGATTTATATACTCACAAATACATTACAATATCATCCGAGATTAAACACATATATTTTGCAACACAACTCGATTTTCACAGAGTACTAAAAAAGCTTTGAGTTTGCATGCCTTCGAGAAGCTTATGAGAATCCCAGTATATGAAATCTTCTTGTTTAGTTGTTTCAATGACATAGGGCATGAGGGATCATGCAGCAAGCGTTTTCTTTAAGGATGTATATGAATTTTATAGGTAGTTTTGTCTAAGAACTGGCTGCATAAGTAAATACAACACCAACATAGCCAGATCAAATTAGTAATTCAAAATAAAAAGTGGTTAAGATTTGTCAGAACAACAAACCCAAATAGAGCGATGAAGCAGTTCAGAGAGATAAGAGTGAGACAACCAGTGAGAAAGAAACTGAGAAAGATGATACCTGAAATTACACTACGGGAGATTTCACACGCAAAGAAAGGGATTGGCGTCTACAGGTTGTACAAAGGGCTTTTCAAATCAGGCTTTTCCCCTGCTAAATATGGTGGTACAGTTTAAATGTTAGAGAAGGATGGAGCAAGACTTTGGAACTGAACTAAAAGAACCTTAGTGCAGATGAATACATCAACTACAGCACCAAGTTGGCAAGTTCTACATCAATACTTTGATATCTCTTGTGAACAACCTCTGCCAAAGAACCATCCTATTCTAAATCAGTAAGATAGTTATTACATTTTTTTTTTTTTTTACAGTTATTACATTCTTATTCAATTGGTTCATCCTTTGAAGAAAGATTGAAGGAGCAATAACAAGGCCAGCATCGAGGAAGGAAAACTGCCTCAATTAGCTTTGCGGGATTCCTAAGACAAAGGGGCAGAGTGTGCATACCAGTAATATGAGCAATGAATAGATCTTCAATATCAGTGCTCCCTTCTCCTTTAGCTAGCAGTATATTTCAAATTTTGAATTATTTACTTGTCATTTTCTTCTTTCTCCCTAGTAAAATTTAATGAACTTTTGTGTAGCTGTTGCTAACCTAAACACAAGGAGGAGAGCCACTTCCTAGTCATGCTAAATTTCTCATTACAGGCTGAGCTACTGGATTAAGTAACATAATTTGTAACCTTGAAGAAAAACACACATGAAGACAAACCGAAACTCAATTTCATTTGGCATAACTATTATGTGCAAGTTGTCATTCAAGGTATTACATCATGTGGAGAAAGCCTTCACTCTATTGAAAACTAAATTTCAATACATAAGCAGAATAGCAGTAAGTACCCATTATCCAAGCCCATAGTCACATCTAACGAAAAAAAGTAAGTAGCTTAGAGAGAGAATGAAATTAGACTATTAATATTTTATCACATATAAGTCATCTTGGATTGGTCAATTTTACATCCATATTCTCAGCTATAATTCTCTAATCAATCTAATCATATAGGAAAAATAATCACTAAAAAATTAGAACTCACTCCACCTTATTTTTTTTCCTTTGTTCACAGGAATTAACAAAAGCAAGACATCTACATTTTAATATGCAAAAACAGGAACCTCATCAAGAAAATCCGCATAAAGCAGGGAAGCAAGAGCAGAAGAGAACTTAATATACCATTATTTATGATTGTGTATAATCATCTTTGTGAAAAATTAAGTAGAAGAAGAGATGCACGGCAAGCCAGGATGAGCGGTCAATTGCATATCAGTTGTTGATCGCCAGAAGCAACTAAACCTGTCGACATCAAAGAATACCATCGAGATATAGGAGATTGAACCAAAGGTTTTGATAACCAAGAGAATAAATAAATATAGGTGTTAGAGTTCATTCATTACCTCTAAACAAGAGACACCAATCAGATGAGTAGAGCAAGCAGTTTCTATGCAGTCCTTACCTGTTCAGTCCCCCTAAATTTCCAAATAACACTACGTGCATTTGGAGAAAGGTCAAACTTCAATATTAATGGTAATCAATAATATAATTCTATAACTCTTGTTTAAGTACAAATAAAGTTGATCTGTAGCAGGAAGCTAAACTTATACCAATACATATTTAGCCTGTTAATACAAAGAGGAAGGACATGTATATAAAGACGTCATTATAAGGGCAGAAAATAAATATGCAGCAAGAAATGAAGATCAAAGAACCAAATAATACCTCAAATTCACAATTTTAACGAAAAATAAACAAAGATTTAGTACCTAAAACCAACCAAAACAGAAGTAGCTGTGTGCAAATATGAAGAGAAGAATTTAACCAACCTGTCGAAATGCTTGAAGACATACAGGAGGGGTACACCTTCTCTTAAAGAATCTGCAGTTAAATAATCTAAAATTCCATCTTAAAAAAAATAGAGATACTTGAACATAGAGAAGAAAGAAAAAAAGCTCAATAGAAGCAGCTAAAAGATGGGCATAGGATGACTGATTAGGAACGACACAGAATTAGGAAGAAGCGAAATGGAACTGAAGTGGAAGGCAGACGTTCCACACAAATAAAAAGTAACCACGTGTAGGTCAAAAAGAAAATTGAAGGTAGCAACTGACACATATAATAAAACAACATTGTTAATGAGTTAGTCTCCTGCATTAACATATAATAAAACAACATTGTTTTAGAACCCACATATCATCAACAAAAAAATCACATTTACTTGTACAATGAAAATAGAGAGGCACGCAGGGAATTCAGATAACACTACTGCATTTTACCACCAATAGGTTAATAAGCACTTTAGAAGGATGGTCTGGATATACATTTCTGTTGACCTAGATAGTAAATAAATAGAAGAAAAAATTAATAATATTAATCATGTAAATCTTACTATTTATATAGATACTCCGGACAAAGAGAGAATAAAAGTTTCTGCTAATGATGAATTCCCGAAAAAACAACATTACTAATTGCAGCACGATAAAAATGCAAGGCACCATGAAAGAATTATTCTTATTCATTTTCTTTCATGTAAAAGCACCATTTTTCAGATACAAAGAAATATGCAAATACATTACCAGTAAAGGATATGCTGCGTATTTCAGTGTCATACCTATAATTGCCGAAATATATTTCAAACGTCCCATATTTGTGTTATCAAAAGTTATATCCTTGCAAGGGAATAGATAATTATGATAAAATCACCTATGGGGAAAGAAAAGGAATAATTTTTTTTCTTGTTTTAGGCATATTGTCAAACACCTTAATTGCACCAAGTTCTTCCCTTCTAATTAGACTTTTTTCAGTTACAACTCAATGTGCTTAGTGCTAGAAGCGTTCAAACAATAAAAACCACATGCATAAACAAAATCTACCCAAGAAATTTTGAAAAAGAGAAAAAACCAGATGCTTGTAAACCTAATTTATTTTATATTGAATTAAAAAGAAAAATAAAGCACAAATGCATGCTCACTTAATAGTCTGTAAAAAGTAAAATAAAAAATTTACATTCTCACCGAGAAAAAAAAAAGGAAAATTTAGCATATCTCAGAAATATCTTCTTCCATTTTCAGGATTTTTGATTTTACCGACCAGGATAATGCATATTTTTGAAGAGTGTATTATTAGCTGCATATACACAAAAACACCGTAGGATAATTAAATAATACAAATGAGCAAAGATTGAAAGAAATATCCAATCAATCAGAGGAAATTTAAAAATGACCTCGAAATTAAATCTAAAACCAAATATTCACCTGCAATAGATAAATCCAATCGAACATGAGAAACAATTACTACTCGCGGAAAAAGGTGGTGACGGAAGAAAATCGAAATGTAAACGATGCAAGAAACAAACCTTAAACAAAGAGCGATCAACATAACAAAACGGCAAAAATAATTTTTGAAGGCAAGAACAGAAGCTGGCCATAAGTGAAGAGAGAAGATTTGACACTGGGGAATGAAAAAGGAATAGACGATAAAGAAGAAGAATGGCCAAATCAGTGAGGGGTGTGAAAATTAGTGGACTCCAGTTGTATCCCACAAACAGAACACGTGTAACAATACGGGAAAAGAGTTGAAACTCAACGAAAATGTCCCTAAAAAGTAATTAA